TGAGTTTCATACAAAGATTGTTGAGACTTCCAAGGTAAACTGCTTCCATCGGATAGAGAAGACTGATGTACGTGTATGTGTGTAGATGATAACCAAGTTACTCTATCAACGTGATTACAATGCTTAGAATGATTTCCATCGCGAAAATTGCATTACACACATTTGTTTTTCAGTAATATGATTATTGCTGATTAATTACTATTTTATTTAAGTCGACTCTCTGAAACATAAAATGCTTAAGGATAGCTTACAAAGTGGACAAGGCTTGGTTATGGTATAATTTATATATATATGTATATATATGTCATATGTTTTAGTACAAATAGGACTATTTCCAAGGTAACTTCTACTTACACGGACCTCAAGTCAGCAATAAATTAAAATAAACAAATCAGGTGGTTTAATCGCTATAAAGAAAAGAAATTGTTGTATAGATATCATAATTCTGTAAAAAGATTCTGAAAAGGGATAAAATGTACTAATTACTCTAAGTGTTGGACAACATTCTTCGCTGAGGTTAATATGCTTATTATACGCATCTGCCTCTAGGGTTCAAACCCTCAAGCTATGTTTAGTTTGATGTATAGGTATGTTCAACCTTAGTCTCTCCATAAATAGACAGTCTTCATTAACAAAATTTATGTTATTACAAAACCCATCCATCTATATGTGTCTGCGTTTCATTAGGTCGTGTAATATTTATTAGTGGAGTCTACTAATGATTTGATCGTACATACCACTTCACGTATATAAAACTATCTACGTGTCATGTTAAAACGGCTTCCTTTAACAAGTATTAAAACCGCAACGCCATAGTTGCTGTTGGATAACATTTTTGTATTCCAGACTTAACAAACAATTCATGATAAATGGCCGATAATCTTTCACAAAGCCCAGTTGCGGACCGTGAGCAACAAACCTTATTCCTCATTTTTCATTGCGTTTACTTGGTTAGGCTTTTGAAAAAGAGATGATTGTATGATTCAGAAACCAGGATCACGTTACATCCTTCATCCATCATCTTTATGGCCGGAGGAGTTGTCTGTGTCTTATTCCGCCTAATTAATTTCATCTTATTAAACGTTGAACTTAAAAACTCACGGTCGAATGAAGCGTTTTCAATGTTCTTATTCAGTGGAGAGGCCTAATAGAAGTGTAGTTCCTGCACTTCATACTGTACTGAAAGATTATGGTTGGTCGATTACTTTCTACCATTTTCTATTTTTTATACTTATTTGCTTATTTTTATTTTATATCGCAAAAAAAATACTTTATTGCCATTAATTTCCATTCTTAAAATGTATAAAAATGCATTTTTACTTTTAGTTATCCTGAATTATTCATAAAGTCTTACTTTATTGTCATGTTAATTTTGCATTTACAAATAATCATTGCACAGTTAACTTGTCTAACCATATCTATTTAAATCATTTACTAACCTTTTGATTCACTTAGAGCATACGTCCGAAGGTCACCTCTGAATATTTCTCCAAGTATGATTAGGTTTAAATAAATTGTTTGGACATTTCCAAACTAGTGTCATATAGATAAGTAGAAAACAAATGCAGTGGAAATACCACTGTCATTTGTATATACATGGCTTATCAACGCTTTGTGTTTTTCGTTTGTTTGTTTATTTTGTTGCTGTCGTTGTTTACAAGATTACCATTTTTATACTAAATATTGTTTGTGAATTTTAGTTGCTTACAAATTGCTGCCCAATTTTGACAAATGCCAATATGGCAGCTTCATTTCCAATACTATTTGCTGTTTTTTTGGTATGCCCGCACGGCGTCTATATGGAAATTAGTCTATAGTACGCAGCCGCTGGTACATTCCTTGTTCTTGTGCTTCTTTTTCTTTTATTATTTAAGTTGAGCACAAAGCAGCACAATGGGCTATCTGTGCTCTGCCTACCACTGGTATCGAAACCCGGATTTTAGCGTTATAAGTCCGCAGACAATACCGCTATGCCACTGGGGAAGGGGGAGGAGGGTCCTTATTATCTGGAAAGAAAAATGACATTTAACTGTTCGGCATACAATCTGGCAGCAGCAGCCTGGACATCACGGGGACACTCTCAATACAATAGGATCATATTAACCTATTCTTCAACTAAATACTGCAGCATTGTTTAGATGATTCGGTTAGGGCGCTCGACTCGCAATCTGAGAGTCGCGGGTCGAATCCCCGTCACACCAAACATGCTCGCCTTTTCAGCCGTGGGGGCGTTAATGAAGTGACGGTCAATCCCACTATTCGTTGGTAAAAGAGTAACCCAAGAGTTGGCGGTGGGTGGTGATGACTAGCTGCCTTCCCTCTAGTCTTATACTGCCAAATTAGGGACGGCTAGCGCAGATAGCCCTCGTGTAGCTTTGCGCGAAATTCAAAACAATAGATGATTCGGGAGCAACTGCAGGACGATGCTTGTATGTCGTCTTATGTTGGGAGATTTGGCTTTGATACTTTTCATCAAAGGTACACTGACCTGCAAATGGAAAATAAATTTTCTGACCTTGCATCTCAAATCTAGGTAGTGTAACCACCTTTGCTCCGGAAGGAGTGCAATAAAGTTGTTCTTGAAGAGTATATTTCGTTTTTATTTTGCTTGAAATGGATCATTTATTAATGTCTATATCTTTGCCATTGTGGGCGTATTATGAATATTAATTAAACTTCCAAAGAATGAATTTCCTTGAATGAATTCTATGATGATATAAAGGTAGGCCAAGCTGAGGGCAGATGTCATAATAATAACTTTTTTGTACACCTAACATGCAAGTTAGTTAGAAGAATATATGTTCCGACAGCTGATGATGCAATCGTTTTACGCGCCATGTTGTTAATATTAAGCCAAAATATGATTAGGAGCTTGGGCATATCGATGTTGTTTACATACACCACGAAAGACAGGATACCTTTAGAAAAGTAACTGGTGATTTTCAGAAACTATTTAGTAATAATAGCGTCCTTTAAGAACGACATTTCAATAAGATATACTTCAAGAAACAAGTACTCTTCCAACGATGTCATTTTCGCCAGAGAATTAAAGCATTTTCTTTCCTGATGGAGACATTTAGTTATTCGAAGATGCCGAAAAACTGGTAGAAATTTCCTTGAGTGAAAGACCCAGCATGGCCAGGTGGCTAGGGCGCTTGACTCGCAATCTGAGAGTCGCGGATTCAAATCCTCGTCCCACCAAACACGCTCGCCCTTTCAGCCGTAGGGACGTTGTAAAGTTACGGTCAATCCCACTATTCGTTGGTCAAAGAGTATCCCAAGAGTTTGCGGTTGGTGGTGGTGTCTAGCTGCCTTCCCTCTAGTCTTTCACTGCTAAATTAGGGACGGCTAGCGCAGATAATTCTCGTGTAGCGTTGCGCGAAATTAAAACCAAATCCTTGAGGGAAATTTGTGCATGAACAAAATATAACAACAAAAAACAACAAAAAGACATTCCACTTCTCACTTATGATTTGGACGTTGATTTCTCAGAATGAATTATATTCTTAATGTTTAACAGCAAAAAAGGGGCGTTAGTTCAATATTGTCCCGTATCCCTTGAAAATAGTTATTTGTGGCGTTTTGTCTTGTTTTTTTTGTTGTTGTTGTTGTGCGTATTTTCCCTGCAAGTGTGTGCTGTTAGATATAGATGCAACTCCCTCTGACGCTGACATAGAATTATGTGACGTTAAGTTAAATAATGTGATATTTTATACAACCTTGCTTGTCGTTCACATGGAGTTATGGTCGTATGCAAGGCATACTTTTTTCAACTTTATAGCATTCGCTTGAGCATTAAATTGAAGCTGTACGGTAACATACACCAATCGTGTTAGATTTGTGTGACCTGCGAATGTTTGAAGAGCTAGAAGATCAGATGGTGAAATGCAGAGTTATCTTTACGACTAATGCTTTGTAACAAAATAAAATTATACATTAAAGTCATTATAGTAAACTGAAACTAAGGGCGCTGCCTTGGTGTCAAACCCTGAGAAAGAGAAAGTGGGCGTTGTGTCTGTGAAATAGAGCCTGGTAAATTAAAAAAATAATTTAAAAAGACATACCACACTTGCCAAAGATAATTTCAGATGCTGTGACGCAATACCACATAATTAATATTATTATTCCTTGCAGTCCCCCGGTAGGTCAGCATTAAGAGTCTGGACTTACAACGCTAAAATCCGCGGTTCGATTCCCCGCGATGGACGGAGTGCAGATAGCCTATTATGTAGATATACCAAAAAAAAAACTTATCATTTACCAGATGCACAGTGAGGATTAATTGCGTACGGAGTAAATAGTTACATAGAAAAGTTATCTTTGTGAAGACTAATGCCAGTAGTTGGTACTTCTGTATTCTTTTGTATATGACGACAACGAAACGTTGAAAAGATATCATTGTAAAGACTGATACCAGTAGTACATTTATTTTTTTATGCAATGTCCACGAAACGTAGAAAAGTTATCGTTGTGTAGACTAATACCAGTAGTACCTCTGTTATCGTTGTGTAGACTAATACCAGTAGTACCTCTGTTATCGTTGTGTAGACTAATACCAGTAGTACCTCTGTTATCGTTGTGTAGACTAATACCAGTAGTACCTCTGTTATCGTTGTGTAGATTAATACCAGTAGTACCTCTGTTATCGTTGTGTAGATTAATACCAGTAGTACCTCTATTATTTTTTGTATGACGTCAACGAAACGTAGAAAAGTTATCGTTGTGTAGACTAATACCAGTAGTACCTCTGTTATCGTTGTGTAGACTAATACCAATAGTACCTCTGTATTCTTTTGCATGTGGCGTCAACGAAGTTTAATAAAAGCATCAAATTAATTAATATTTAAGTTTCATATAAGTTAAAGTATTTTATAAAGAAACATGTTTGTCTATCACAAGTCAAAATTTCAATGTAAATATTCGATTGTTAGTAACGTTTCTATTAAGATCATCACTATTAACTGGAATTCGTTTCCCTCACTATTTTTTCTCCACTACAGAATTGCCCAACAAAGGCAGAAGCAAGACGCAGTGCTGCTAAGATTGCCCTTATGAATTCAGTATTTAATGAACATCCTTCCAGGAAAATTTCGGACGATTTCATTGAAAAAGCTGTAGCTGACGCGAAAGCATCGTTCAAGGTGAGCATTTGTTTATGGTAACACGCTCAAAACGAGTCTTATCTTAGTGTGAGTCATGTTAAGGAATTCGAGGATATGCAACCAGGAGTGGTAAGACAATTTCCATCGCAACATTTATTGTCTTGGACTAAAGTAATGTAAATATCTGACTTGCTTTTGTAATAGTTCTCAAATGAAACGTGTATCCGACTACCTTAAAGTATGCTGTTACAACACAATTCTACTCGTGAAACAGGTTTATGTTTAATCGCTAATAAAGTAGAAACGACAATATTGTCGCACGTTACTTCACGAAATCTGAAACTACAATCTTATGAACTAGAATTCTGATTATTGAATATTTCCTTCTTGGGCTCCCGTATGCTATGAATGAGTGTAAAGGGAATTGTTCCACCATGGATTAGTCCTAAGGGAATGCTTCATAAGTTTGGTAAATATCAAATTTTATGAACTTCCAGAAATATAGTTTTCATTGAAATAGAGATAAGTTAGATAAATCTTATTGCAATATTCTTGATCTCGTGCCGACCTTGACGTAGTCAGCGAAGCAGCGCTCTAATCCTCCGTGGCTTTTGTATCCCCACACACATTTTTTTACACCTCTCAATATTAAACATATACATTCATTCAGCTTTCGTAATACACCCATGGTAGCACATGTTGTTTATGTCTCACATCAGTTTTCGTAGTTGCACGTATTCATATCGTATACATAATGGAAAGTTATAGAAGACAAGCCATTTAGTAACTCTCAACTTGTTTTACAACTTCATTTTGTGCACGTAAGTTTGACCAATTGTCAGGCAACAGCAAGAACAACCAGTACTGAATACTTACGGTGAATATACAAAACGCTATTGCAAAGTATGCATTTCATTATTATCTGAGTTTTGCACATTTTAGAGTTGTGAATACACACACACACACACACAATTAAAAGTATAGGAGACGTTTACAGGCGCAATTACAAATGCGGGCTTAAAAATAGAACAAGCTTACCTTTGCAGAAAAGAAAATCCCAAACTGATTTGTTTTGAAGACGATATCATGTTTCCACTCATAGAAGATTGCATGTTAATATTTCATGTTGTAGTTCCAGTGGTACCTAATGGTGGCATAAATACACAGTTCAGTTAAAACGGCTGCTACACAAAAAGATAGCCGTGTATTTGTTAAGAGCTGACGGAAACTTCATTAAAGCGATATGTACCATATTTCCAAAGTTACTATATATATATCGCAACGAAACGTGAAACGTTGTGTAGACTAATACCAGTAGTACCTCTGTTATCGTTGTGTAGACTAATACCAGTAGGTATTTGTCTATTTGTCCCATATCTAACTACTGCTAGGTCGCTGCTGTGGGGCCTATCTCGACCAAACATTATGGGATGATAGTTTAATACTTTGACCGGTGACCTTACAACTTCATCCCGTAAGACACTTCTGCAGTCAATGACCATCAACTAATTAGAATTGGCCCTTCATGGCCAGGTGGTTAGGGCACCCGACTC